ACTTTTTCCTCTGAATTCTCTATTCTACTGTCTTGCAAGCCACAGGTCAGGACTACTTGTTGCTTTTGAAATCAATTTATAGGTTTTATTTGATTTTTAAAAATATAAAATAGAAAAAGAAAATATTGGTGTGCATCACACATAATGAGGATAAATGTATTATGAAATTTTTATTTCTTTTTTCTATACACACATACAAATACATACACCTTGTATCATTATGTATGTAAAATGTATTTTTATTGAGAATTATAATAAATAAAATTGGAAATCTACTCTTCTACTGTATTCCATTAATCCACTGGTCTATTCCTTTGCTTTGTCCTACCATATTTACTAACTGTAGTGGCTGGGTTCTGATATCTGGTAAGGTAGGTGCATCTCTTTGGCTATTATTGACTAATTGTTCTTCCGCATAAACTATGTGGTTATTTTTCCCTAATATTAAAACACACACACACACAAAGTACTTGCTTCTATTCTAATTAGAATTATTAATTTAGGAAAAAGTACACCTTCATGATATTAAGTTCGCCACTCCATTATATATTCGGTATATCTTTGTTTATGAAGCATGGTACGTTTCCATGATTCTTATAATATAGGTCCTATGGTTTCCTTGTTAAATCTACTCCTAAGTCTTTTATAGTTCTTTCCACTATTGTGAAATAAAAATTTTCCCATTTCCATTCTGTGTACTTATTACAAATATAGAGAAGCTTTCAGTTTGACTTATCTTAAATCTGGCTATCTCAACAGATTCTTTTATTAATTCTATTGTTCATAATTTGAGTCTTTTGGGTTTCCTAGATCTACAATCATATTTGCTAGGACCCCTTAAAAAACGGTAAGTAATTTGGCAGTATAAAATGGCAATACTGAGAATCTTGCCTAGCTCCCAATTATAAAATGCAGTCTGAGTAACACACAGAAGAAATTAATTACTCAAATGACTGAGACCTATTTCTCTCTTCTATTTCTCAAGTTGCTCTCATGTTACAGTCCCTGTCACTGCTCCTCCTCTCCTGCAGGTTCTAAACTGTACTACCAGTGAGAGGCCCTGGCTTCTATTGTCTGAGTATCAGGGAAAGGAGATGCTCCTGGCTCTTAGTGCACCATTAAAATTACATATCCATCCATTCAGATATATGCAGACATGATACAAGCAAGGCAAGATGCTGAAAAGAATATCAAGAAATCGAGAATGTCCAGAAAGACAATCAGATAGGAGATATAGGACATGAATAAAAACATTATTTTAAATAGAAATGATACATGCTCCAAAATAGGCATAGATAAAGCATGATTCAAAATTAGAGGAAAAGTAGTTACTTCAGTATAAAAATAATTACAGGTAGAAGTTAGATATATACTACAATACTGTAATTTAGATATATTACAGATTGAAAAGCTTTTGTGGGATTGGATGAATCTAATTATCACATGTATTATATTTTTTTATGGGAAAAACTGCTTTCAAATAATCCATTTATGAATGAACTTCTAGCTACATATTTCATGTTTCTTAAAGATCATTTGGACAGACAATGGTAATAGTTCCAAAGTTGTATTATTGTCAAAAAAGGAAGTAACAAAAGAAATAAATAAGAGTCTGGTTCAATAGTGACCTTTCCTGATTACTCCTTGAGAACAGAATTAATTTTATTCAATAAGAACAACAAAAAAAATAAATACCTATCATGCAAATTTCTTAAAAAAATCAAAATTTTATAAATTCGGGTACTATATAATTTAATTACAATGTTCATAATTCATTGTTTAAATTAATACAGCTTTTTCTACTGCCAAAAATATCATAATAAAATTTCCACCAGGGTCAAAAATATTCATCTTTGAATTCATACACTGTATAATAGCAAAGTGCAG